GTACCTGAGAATCCTGCAGAAATCCTGAGAGAGCAGAATGTTCCTAGGGACAAGCAGACAGAGTGTGGAATCCACATAACTGGAGACAGTCCCAATCCAGCTACAGGTAAGGACAGGCGTCAGCAGCACGGCATGTAACGATATCCAAGTTGGCCACCGTGAATCTTGCAAGATCCAAGATGGCCGCCGCACGCACGTGTACCCACTGGGAACAACTCCCACAGGTCCTGGTAAACAGTAGAGAGGTCGCAAGCACCCTACCACCCTTGGAGAGTACCACCAAAGCCCGGCCTGCCCAGAGTGGAGAGCAGAGAGAGCAAAGCTTTGCGATCGCGGCAATGCTGGTTGCGACGTGTGGAAGGCAGAATGACAGGAGGGTCTCAGGGAGAGGGTAGACTCAAGCCTGAGACCCAACAATATACCCCAAACAGAGCAGAGAGAGACAGGCAAGGAGGGAAGACAGGGGGAGGGAACAGTAACAGGAAAAATAACACCCACAAGAATCAGAGAGATACCACAGAAATACAATAAACAGCTGAAGTAAAAACAAACAGCACAAGCAAATACTCTGACCTGCATCCTGCTGGAGCAGCAAAAAAAGAGGAAGAATGTGGGTGGACTCAGCCTTATATATCCTGTGTATCTCAGTTTTGATTGGTTTATCTATATATAAATACTTGCTGCTAGAGTTTTAAGTAAAGAAAGTCATTCAAAATAGGAAGCCTTCGGTCGTGTGGTAAAATTACAAATAATAATAATAAATCAATAGAAAGCTAATGCATTTTTATATACATTAATTTTCTACATTGCTTAATGAAGGATTGAAATCACAAACTTTTTTCTGTATTTAGTTAAAACTGTACAACTTACATGTTTATGTTATTTTTACCAGTTATCGCCTACATCCCTTGGCACTGATAAATGATTTTGTAAATGTGCTCACATGGCAACACCAAAATGCTGTTGTGGTATGACCCAGGCCATTTCAGTGGGAGAACAGCCATGATGAATGCATGAGAATTTTTATTTCCTGGATAGTTAAGGAAATGTTTCCATAAAATGTACGTTTGCATATTTTAATGGGCTTGCAGGCTGGTGTTTAGTAAGAATCAGTATGCGGAAACCTTTAGGCATGTAAAAGAAGGGATTGCAGAATGGGAAGGCACATGAGAAAATTTATCCAGTAAGGCCCGTACTGGCCATCGGGCATACCAGGTAAATGCCCGGTGGGCAGCGATGGCCATGGGCCGAGGCTGGCAAGGGAGATCACAGGATCTCCCTTATCGGCCCATGCAGAGCCGGCACTATCCGAGCGCCGGCCCTGCTATGTGCCTTCATGGGCTGGTGGGGAGATCAAAGATCTCCCTCACCGGCCCACAGGCACTCACATGCATCCGGTGGCTGGGGAGGGAGGGAGAGAGGACCCAGTGGAGCTCTAACCTGAAGTTTCACCGGGTTCCTCTCGCGAGGTTGGAGCATTGCTGTGGCAACCATGGCAACGCTCATATCTCGTGATGACCACCAGGGACCACCTCTATGTCCCCCTCCCAGCAAAAGGTAAGAAGGGAGGAGGGATATAAAGTGTAGATTTTTTTTAAAATAAAAAACAAACATATTTCTATATTAATTTCATCTTCCCCCCACTGCACACAACACACACACTAACTACACCCTTTACTCCTGACAAACTGCACCCTTTACACAGACACACACATACACACAGCACCTTTCAGACACACTGCACCCTTCATACACATAGTACCCTTCATACACACAGCACCCTTCATACACATAGCCCCCTTCATACACATAGCACCCTTCATACACATAGTACCCTTTATACACATAGCCCCCTTCATTCACATAGCACCCTTCATACACATAACACCCTTCATACACATAACACCCTTCCTACACATAGTACCCTTCATACACATAGCACCCTTCATACACATAGCACCCTTCATACACATAGCATCATTCATACACACGGCACCCTTCATACACATGGTACCCTTCATACACGCGGCACCCTTCATACACGCGGCACCCTTCATACACACTGCACCCTTCAAACACACTGCACCCTTCAAGAGCATTGAACCAACATGCTCACTTTGAGAGGGGGTGTACTTGTCATTGGTGATGACAAAACATCCTCTCTCTGGCCCCGCCCCCTTCTCAGTGGGCTGCTGTGACTCAAAAATGCCAGGGCCTAATTTCTTTCCTAGTCAGGCCCTGTATCCAGTGGCTTGGTTCTGTCATAGACAATCGCACTGGTTGACCAATAAATCTACTATGCTATGGTTTCATCACCTATACTTTGTAGAGTTAAGAGAGGATTAAAGAATGCTCGGGAGAGAACAGTTGAAAAGTAGCCTTAATTTGAAAACAGGAGGGAGAGACCATGTAATAGACAACAATGTTGGTGGGAGCAATGAAACAGCTGTGCTTGAAAAATCCTAAAATAAGCTAGTAATAAGTATTAAGCTAGTCATTTTAGATCAATTAAATTAAATTAAATATGTATCTAAAAATTGAATTTCACTGCATTATTATATCCTCTATATTGTATGCTCACTCAGCTGCACGAGGGAGCTGAAGAGGAAGCACACAGAGGAGAGTGCTCCCTCGCGCGCCCGCCGGGTGTCAGGGGGAGAGGAAGGAAATTTGAGGGGGGAGATGAGAAGGAAATCTGAGGGGAGAGAGGAAGGGGTGGAAATTTGAGGGTAGGGGGAGCAGAGGGAGAGGGAAGAGGAAATTTGAGGGAGAGGAAGAGAAATTTGAGGAAGCGGGGGAGAGGAAAGGAAATTTGAGGGGAGGAAGAGGAAGGAAATTTGAGGGAGGGAGGAGAGGAAGTAAATTTGGGGGAGGAGGAAGGAGGAGAGAAATTTGAGGGGGAGAGGAAGGAAGGACATTTGAGGGAGGGAGGAGGGAGGAAGGAAGGAAAAATTGAGGGAGAGGAAGGGAGGAAATTTGAGGTGGGGAGAGGAAGGAAATTTGAGGGAGGGGGGAGAGGAAGGAAATTTGAGGGAGGGGAGGGAGAGGAAGGAAATTTGAGGGAGAGGAAGGAAATTTGAGGGAGAGGAAGGAAATGAGAGGGAGGGGGAGAAGAAGGAAATGAGAGAGGGGGAGAAGAAGGAAATTGGAGAGGGGGAGAAAGAAGGAAGTGGAAGGGGAGAAGGCAATGAGAGGGAGGGGGAGAAGAAGGAAATTGGAGAGAGGGGGAGAAGAAGGAAATTGGAGAGAGGGGGGAGAGAAGAAGGAAATTGGACGGGGGTAGGGGGAGAGATTGACATCCATCACACACACACACAATGCACCCCTTGCACACAGAAAAACACACAATGCATTACACACAGACACACATACACAAGCAATGCATCCCTTACACACAGCAACACACAATGCACCCCTTACACACACACTCAATGCATCCTTTACAGACGCACACACTGCATCACGTACATACACAGAAACACACCTTGCAGCCCTTACACATACAAACACAGATTCACACAATGCATTCCTTACACACATCAGGACATCCCCCACACACACACTCCACCCCCTGTGAACAAACTCATTGGTGGAACATGAAGGTGGACCCTGGGACCCAGACCTTGAGCTGTGTAAAGGACCCCCCAAAAAATGGAGCTGCTTCCCGCTCTCCCAGAACATTGATTTTTGTGACCACAGTTACAAACCGCCTCCAGAGAGCCTGTTCTGCACCAGACCAGTGGAGCCAGACGGCAGCTAGAGCCCATCTTCATCCTCATCTGGTTGTAAGTAGGCAATCTAGTATATTATTTGTGGCACTAATCTCTAATTTACCTCACATTAAAGGGACACTATAGTCCCCAGAACCACTGCAGCTTAATGTAGTGGTTCTGGTGTCTATAGCCTGTCCCTACAGGCCTTTTAATGTAAACACGGCGGCACTGCAGAACTGGTGTTCGTTAACATGGCAGATCATATGGGTGGGGCATTGTGATGTCACATGGGGGGGTGGCAAACTTTACTTTTGCCTAGGGCGGCAAAAATCCTTGCACGGGGGGGGGGGGGCAGCACTTTGGGCCTACTCAGGTACAGGCACCAGGGGGCCCAGACCTTGAGCTGTGTCAGGGGCCCCAAAATTTCTGATGGCAGCCCTGGTTTCAGTTTGAAACACTGCACTCATAGAGAAAGAGACCAGTGCTGCACGGTTAGTAACTCCACCACCGGCAGCGTCATTAGCCAGCTTAGAATGAGAGTATTAAATGT